CTTATTTGTATATTATGTGCATAATGCAAAATTTTACTTTTTATTTTTTTTAATTAGGTTTTATAAACTTTGTTATTAAAATTGTCATTTGCCAGTTAAGATAATTTTTATTAATTATGTGGACTAGTTAATATCAGTAACTTACTTATATTGGATTAACGTTAATATTAATAGTTACGCTTTCGTCTATACCCAAAAATATCAAACGTCCAATTTACTGATCTGCATATATTTTATTTAAAAAGTTTTAATTACTGGCAGTTAAGTACGATAAGCTTTTGTAATAATTGCACAGTTGTAGACTAATTTTGTTACTAATATCAATTAAAATTGCATTATGTGTAAAAAATAAGGCATGGTTTTAATATGAGTTCATCTATCAATTGGACGTAACCAATTATTTATAATTGCATGAAATCTATCGTTTGAATGTTAATTAAAATGGGAAAATATTTTGAAATTGCAACAGTTATGACTCATTAGTATACGTGAACTGATTAGAGTTGAATGGACGAGCATTAGAAATGAATATTATTGTTTTATTTAGTGTCATAAAGTATGTGCTATTTTAGAGTCATTTCGGCAACGAATAACTGTATATGTGTATGTCGTGGTTGCAATTTCAACGAATATAAATCAACGATACAGACTGAGTTAATGGGATCTATTGTCTCATTTCTATTACAGAGTATGTTATTGGTGTCGCGGCAAATAATAATAGTTGCAACGAGGTCGTTTATTGCTGTCATTGATGTTAAGGTCTGCCTGGATATATAGAAATTCAATACATTGAAAATAAAGAAAAAATCCATTGTGAACACGAAATTTCGCAATTAGTCATTAGAGCAGTTTTTGAATGAATTAACAATCTTTCATTATTTCTTCTTTCACGACGTTCACCAATTTTTTTTTTCATTTATAAATCAGTTAAATGTTAGAATAAATAACATTATTATTTTTTATTATATTTAAAAACAAAGCAAACTTTGTTGTTATTTTGATGATAATATTGTATTATTTTAGAAGTACTTCAATCAGCTATTAAAAAACCAGACGTAACCTTATCTTAACGAAAAAATATTAACGCGAAAAGATGAAGTTAAAGTAAAATTTTGATATCTCCTTAAACAATTCATTAAAATATCGCAAGCCTTAAATAAGTATACGTTTCGAACCAAACAAATCAAATAAAAATTCATCGAGAAAGCGAAACAGATGTTTTAGATACGATTTGTGAAATACAAGCACATTTCCATTTGTCAAATGCGTTCCAATTTAAAAAAAACAGTTAACCATTATTTATTTAACCATTTTTTTTGTGTTCTAATTCTTTAACGGTTCTTATGTCGAGCACTTGTAACGTTCTTAACACTAAAAGGTTCAATGCACGTCGTTTGTCTCCAGTAGCACAAGTGTAGGGAAATTGCCTACACAATGCGCCGAACTATACGATTTATCGTACTTGAAACGATTTACCCATATCGACGTGATATTACCCTATTTCCATCCGATATTGTTACAATTATTTTAATTTCAAACAACCGAAATTCTTAGTAGACATTGGGGAATACTGTTCGAGTTCAATTACAAAGGTTCTTTTAATTTATTAGGAATACAAGAATTATTTATTTAAAAGACGTGACGTAAAATAGCTCGTGCTAATAATAATAATTCAAGTGTTGTCTACTAGTTATTAATATTTGTTTTTTTTTAAATTGTGTCTCATTAGTATAAAATATCATTTGAGTTAACTATTATGATCTCAAATAAATTTTATTATTGATAGCAATGTTAATAAAATGAGTAAGAAAATTAGCTTTTTGTATTAAATTTTAACAAAATAACACATACTTAGATAACCGTGGGCTTTTTATAAAGCACGTATAAGTTTGATATCGTTATAATAGTTTTTGTAAGATTTGTTGTAAGTAAAATTACAATAATTGCGTAATGTGTTATTAGATCAACAAACTATTCGGGAATTTCGTTAAATGGGTTTTCGAAACAACTTAACAGTTGTGTAATGTTTTATATGTTAGTTAATACTTCTTCCCATCCCTTTTACATATAACTTTAATTGTTTGCAGATTCAGTAGTTATTTAGTTTTAGTTTCTAGAATAGAAATATGTAGCCAGCAAAAACTTTTATAATATGATCTTTTCGGTTTTTATCTTAGCATATTATAACAATTTTGCATTCCTTAACAGAAGTCTCTCATTAGTTTTCAACAATAACGTATTAATTTAATTTATTTTAAAACATTTTTTTAGTAAAAAACATCTACGAGTTTCCTTGAATTTTCTAATTAATTTTCTCACTATGAAAGTGTCTAAAAGTGTTAAATAAATAGTTTATTAAATGGATTTCTTAATTCATTAATATTAAGCTAACGAAATTGTTTTAATTATACTTTCAATTAATTAAAATTAGTTTTACAACAGTCTACCATAATTATTTTATTAATTAAATATTCATAATTTTTTTACACAATAAACTAAGAATGAAAATCTGCATGGTAAAAATTAGAACTCAGATTAACGTCAGTTTTATGATATTAAAATCGAAAACAATTTGTGTTTTTGATTAAAGTATTGTTATGTTTATCATGTGTAGTATAATTTAAATTTACACATTACGCTAAACATAACAAAATTTTCTGAATATTTTTGATATAAATTGAAAAAAATTATTTTTTTTTAAATTGATTTATTGTTATTTTTATTGTTAAAAAATAATAGTGTACTACTCGATTTAGTTAGCATTTTGTTCATAGACTTTTTGTAGAAATATCAATGCCATTTTTATGGTAATCAATGGTAATGAAATTACTCCGCTGTAATACATTTGTTGAATTTCTTATGATGTCAGTTTTTTTTTTAATTAATAAAGAGTACGAGAACTAATAGCAATTTTTCTCTGTCATCATTTGCGTGGTGAAAATTCTTGGCGACTTTTAGAACAATTCATAAATGATCATATTTAACTAATTGTGTTATTGAGTACTCCAATTTTTTTTTTTAGCATGCGCTTCAATTTTAAAGACATGGCACTTACGTATATAATTGTGAAATTTTCCTTTTATTCCATTTAAGTTTTTAGAGAACACAGAGTTTACGGTAAACGATCCACGCAATTAGTGAAATGTGTCAAGCGTTATATAGTATCAGTATCTCTTATGTTATGTGATCCAAATGATAGCTCATGTTAAGTGGTGTAATTTTAGCCTTCTTTCTCAAATTTCATCACAATGTACTTTAGTATGAAATTTACAGATATTACAGCAATATCAAAATGACACTTGAAATCTTAATGTTCACCTATCCAGTAAAATGAAGTCCAAAATAATAAATGTTCAAAATCCACATTTAACTCAGTTTTGTAAATTAATTTTTTTATAAATATGATTGGTTAGTAAGAAATATCTTATATTACTTTTGTTTATTGTAAAGATATAAAGCTGAAAATGTATATAAAACATATGTGTAGACTGTATAGGTTATTAATAATTGAGAAAAAAAATGAATTGGCTTAATTAAAAATGCTTATATAACCTCGTAAAATATAGTCTTAAAATGAGTATTGTATATTTGTTGTATGTAGAAAAAATAATTTTTTTGAAGTTATTCCTATGCTCAAAAAGATATTAGTAATAAATATGGATACGAGGAAAATTTGCGATTGATATTATCTACAGAATAATATTTCTATCTATATTTTATCTGAAAAAAATCAAGCTTTTGTTAAGACGTAAGCCGGCAGGCAGATGTGAAGACCGTAAAATGTATTTTAATATTATAAATAAATATGTTGTTAAGTTACGCTATATATATATATATTGACTTAAATAGTTTTCGTATCGTATTAATACCATATTTTTATAGCGACACGGAGCATTTATCATGTTTAGTGTATTGTATAGAGTACTGTTGTATAAACATGTTTTTCTTTTCACAAAAGATTCAACGTTCATTATTTCTGTGAAATTTTTTTAATGCCGTTTAGGTCATTTAAAAGGCAAGTTTTGACGTTATAATCTTTTGTTGTGTCATCTTACGGAATATAAAACAAACAAAAATTTACCATTTTGTAAATGACATCTAATAGAAAGTATCTAATTTATGTCATGTTGACGGTCGTTAAAAATTGAAATTCTGTAAATGAAAGTATCATTTTTTCGTTACCTCTTTTGTTAAGTATTTTTTTGAATTTAATAAATTTTGGTTGTTAAACCAAAGATGTATTAACATATCAATGATTTTTATAATTTCAATTATGCTACTGTTATTTTCTCATAAAATAATGGAAATAATTGTCTTCCGTAAATTTTAAATGTCAAAAAACAGATAATTTCAAACTAAAATAATTAATATGTTGAGCGTTTCAAAGAATCACCAACTTTAGAAAAGGAATCTAAGTATATTTCAAAAAAGAGTCGTAGTGCTGTAATGTTATTGTATATTTTCATAATTATTGCGCTTGCAAATAAAATGTAAATTTAAATTAATTTTTAGAATAATTTAATGTTAATTGTGTTTAAACTTTAATATTACTCTCTAAAAGTAAATATTTTGAATCTATTATTTTTTAAATAGTTCAAATAGTGCCTATTTTTACAAATTATTCATAATCATGTGAATAGGTTTTGACTTCATTTCCAGAAAACCTTTAATTAGAATGTATAAACTAATTAAAAATAATCGTAATCTCTTTTTGCTATTTATCAATAATAAATTTCCTTCTTGTGAAATATTTAGATTGATAGTTTGATGTAAAATATAATTGTGATTTGACCTATAATAGTAATAACAAATTTCTGTAAATGCCTTATGGCTATGAATTATTTTATTACTCGCTTAATGTGACTATGTACTATGTAATATTTATCATTATATATCAAGTGATCCAACTATAATAATCATATCAGTTAAAATATTAATTACTCATCGCGTTCGGTATTAATTATATATAACGGCGTTTAAATGTATTGATTATTTTACAGGGTCGACCGCAGACAAATTTATATGATGGTTGTGCTACTCTAAACGGAGGATTAGGACGACACTCGTCCTCTGCATCATCTGGAATATCAGATGCATCAATTGAAACGGACAATGTAAGTTATTTTTATATTTTTATTAATTAAAAATGATGAAAATTCAAAGTGCTTAATTGATCATAAACCACTTAATAATTTGAAAAATAAAAATAATAATAGAATTTTTTTTTTTTTTTTGATTTTTATAAGGTATATGTTTTTTTTAGCTTCGATGCGAAGCTGAGAAGGTATTGGTTTTACTATAATGTGTTTTTTTTTCTTTGTATCTGTTACCACTTTTTCTCAGCTCTCACCAAACCGATTTCTTTCAATGGTACGTCAAAAGATAACAAATCGTATCTAGTCGAAGACATTACCCTCAAAAATTTTAAAAAAATCCCTCGTTCCCCATAAATGGGGGAAACCTCCAAAAAAATTACAAATTTAAAAATCGCTAATTTTCAAAAAATTTTCAATTTTTTTTACTAAAAACTGCCATTACTTTTTTAAAAATGAACATATCAATATAATTTCTTTTTATATAGATGTACGATATCATTACCTTTCATATGGTATATTTTTTTTTTATATCTGACCCTTTAACTGCCCACAGGGGAGAATTTAAAATGACAACTTTTTCACAAAAAATTAATTTTTTCAACTTGACTTTTGAAAATGTTCCGGAAAGTCTGACACTTTTATATATATTTTAAATTAAAGCTAATGTAATATACTTTATTATGGAAAAAAAAAATTTCGAACTTTATTTTATCTTCTCGGTGAAAATGGGTACCGAATTCTATTTTTGTGTGAAAATTTTCGATTTTGTATTTTACATTTTTAACTTTATTATTGTATAATTTTTTGAAAATTGTATGGATCAATACAATTTTTTCATGAGGAGTAGTATTTATGTACATCTTTCATTCGACATATTGTTTTTTTAAATCGGACTATTTCCCTATATACAAGGGGGGTTTAAATCTAAAAAATGCTTGTACAAAGTAGAACTTTTTCAACTTAACTTTTGAAAATGTTCCGGAAAGTCTGACACTTTTATATATATATTAAATTAAAGCTAATGTAATATACTTTATTATGGTAAAAAAAAATTTCGGACTTTATTTTATCTTCAGGGTAAAAACAGACATCAAAGTTGATAAAAAAAATACGATTTTTGTAAAAAAATTCTTTTTTATATTTTTAACTTTATAATGTTATAACTTTTTGGAAGATGTATAGATCAATATAATTTTATAGATGCATGATGTCTTTACCTATCATTTGGTATATTTTTTTTTAATACTTGACCCTTTACCTGACCACAGGAGGGGATTTTAAATGACAACTTTTTCACAAAAAATTTACTTTTTCAACTTAAATTTTGTAAGTGTTCCGGAAAGTCTGACTCTTTTATATACAGGGTGATTTTTTTATCATAACCCACTCAATTACTTATAGAATAATAATAATTTAAACATTTTTTTTTTTTATTAGCTTTAGTTACATATTATTCTTGAATTTTTAACTATGTAATACTTTTTAAGTTCATCCCTTATGCCTTGGAGGGGGGTAAACTTTGTTTTTTTAAATGGTAATACATATTTTTAATTTAATAAAATGTTTGAGTTTTTAATTTAATAGTAAATGGCATTTGAATTTTTAATATAACTTTATTAGCTTATTAGATATAAACATTTAAAGTTTCAAAATTTTGAGTTAATATACATGTATAATACACATGGGATTGTAAATACAGGTAGCTAATTGGATTTTTATGACATTGCTGTCTCAGTCACGGATTGTTTATTATCAATTATGATTATCAATAGATATACTTTCTGTATTGTCAGTTAGTGTATTTATAAACTCATAACAATGTGCCTTACTACAATTGATAATAACAATGCTGTGTACCTGCTAATATCGATGTTATAAAAAACCAATTAGCTACCTGTATTTGTAATCCCTTGTGTATTATATCTGTATATTAATTCAAAAATTTGAAACTTTAAATGATTATATCTAATAAACGAATTAAGTTATATTAAAAATTCAAATGCCATTTACTATTAAATTAAAAACTCAAACATTTTATTAAATTAAAAATATGTGTTACCATTTAAAAAAACAAAGTTGACCCCCTTCTAAGGCATAAGGGATGAACTTAAAAAGTATTACATAGTTAAAAATTCAAGAATAATGTGTAACTAAAAATAATGAAAAAAAAAAATGTTTAAATTATTATTATTCTGTAAGTAATTGAGTGGGTTATGATAAAAAAATCACCCTGTATATATCTTAAATTAAAGCTAATGTAAGTTACTTTATTATGCAAAAAAAAAAAATTTGGGACTTTATATTGTCTTCATGGTTAAAATAGCTACCAAATGCTATTATTATTTGAAAATTCTCAATTTTATTTTTTTCATTTTTAACTTAATAATACTATAACATATTGAAAAGTGTATGGATCAACATAATTTTTTTATGAGAAATAATATTTATATTCCTTTTTTATTCGACATACTTTATCGTAATCAGGATATTAATAAGAAAATAGCAGATCATGTAGCTTTTGGAATAATCCACCAATTTTTTTAAAATTAAACACTATCTAAAGATTTGCATCGAAGCGTTTTTTTTTGATAGTGATTTTAATCACTGTCAGATATCATTATACTTGATCCAACTATGCCACGTCACCACTGTGCCGCGACACCCCTGTGCTGGGTTTTTTAATTTATAATACCTGATGTTTAGTATAGTAGTTATTGATATTTTTATACCTACGCGAGAGGAAGAGTACAGTCAGAAAATGACTTGTGATAAAATCCTCATGTCTCACATACAGCCTTTACTATAAAATGTTAATAACTTTCGAAGTACTGGTCTAAAAGTTGTTATCAATTAATCATTTTCTTAATTAGAATATTATCCATTAAATATGCTAGTTACTTATGTAAGTTGCAATTAAAAAATAAAAAATTAACCTCCTTATTAAGTATTAGGAATTACTTTATGATTGATAAATGAAGAAATATACGTACCTAAAAGAAACCAAAAAAATCTGTATTTTATTTTTTATTTTTCGACTGATTAAGTGAATTGCTATAAATGAGGCACTCGGTTATGTATAGTTTGTTTAGAAATGATGTTATTAATTTGTCTTTTATAATTTTTGATTAGACGATAACAACTATCTTTGTCATCGTGTTAGTTTGATATTTTTATTTATTTATTCGTTTAAATATAAGATGAAATATTCTAGTGTAAAAGGTTATCCTTAATTTAAATTTAAACAAATTACATTAACGTTTTAGAGATTAATTCAATTTTTATGAAAAATTATTAATCTAATAATAAATTATACTTTTTCCCAAATACTATCGATTTAGTTTAATAGTATTCATGTATTTTTTACAAAATAATCTGATTAATTACATTAAATTTACTATTAATTTTTGTTATCGTGTTTAATAGTATTTGTAATCATACCTTTCTGTGCACTAATTATACCTAAATCGCTTTCTTGGCACACCCTAATCCAAATATACAGTACTTATGGCTATAATTCAATGGAACTTTATCCACTTTTATAGTTTCTAAGTATTAAAATGAAGACACTGAAGTCCCCTACTATCTCTTGTCTTTTTAGGAATAAACTAGTGTTACAGTGTTATCGTTGTTCAACGTTTTTTGATCGAAAACTATTGAAATATAAATGAAACGAAAGAAACTTGGTAATACATTATAGTAGTGGTGATAAGTCAGATTATCAAATCGATGATGGGGCAGGTTTTAAAAACGGAAATTAACAGTCTATGAACTTTTTCAAGTAGAATTTTAAAGGCATCATCTTTAGTTACATTGTAAGCCATTACGACTAGCCGCAGCAACTATTGCCAATTCCAAAGCAATAATTAATTATACTTAACTAGTATATAAAAAGCAATTTTATAAGTTGGTGGAAAAAAGAAACTTGTATGTTGGAAAACCGTTTTTCACGTTTTACTGCGTCTTACCTGTGATGGAGACCTCTACTTTTATCAGTCGAATAAAAATTGTGGTTGTAAATTTGTTTGACTTCTGTAATTAGAACTAGAAACTTATATAAAACCTTTTAAAATTTACTTCTTGATTTCCTGTCTTCGTTTAAAATTAATTTTATGACTTAATGCTCCTGTCAGTATTAATTTAAAAGTGACCAACTATTGTATATGCAAGCCACTATTACATCCGTACAAAGTTTCGTGTTATGTGTCCAAAACAAAACTACTATATCTCTGATTAAACTTCTTGGCACCCTTCTCTTGAAAGCATCAAAAAATAAAATCGGAGCTTTTATTATATCTTACATTGTTAGAACCATGATATTATCAGTTGATCCATAAAATGGATGCTTCCGTTTAAGAATTGCACGAGTGCAGCTTTATATCATGTTTTTTTTTTTTACTGAACTCACAGTAAAAAATGTTATATCTATTTGAAATTCTAAGAACCTAAAAATATAAGAATGTAGACGGCTAAAAATATTATATAACTTGCAGCAGTTTCAAACAAAATCTAAAAAACTTTTAAATTATTGTGTTTTTATTGAAAATCTTTTTGAAGTGTATAAAATATCTTCCACTAGCACGGTATTAATTTCAAGTATTACTAAAAGTGTAAAACTTTTAAAAGTTTATTGAAAAAAAAAACTTAAAAGTCTTATCATTGATATAAATGTCTATTTTTGATTGTCAAAATGCTTATCACAATATAAATTTATTTGCTTACCCTAAAGCCAATTAATGAACCTGACTTTTCGTTTTAAATATAAATATTTTTAATATAAATTACCAAGCTTTTATTCAATGATATTCTGTTTGAAGTAAATTATTGTATGAGTACTACAAAATCAGTACCACTATATGAAATGGCATAATCTATACATACATAATATTTTTAAATAATAAAAATAGTTAAAATAGGTAGAACTATTAAACCTAAAATGTATAACTACTGAAAAATAATATGGTTCGATATCTTCACAATTCAACAAAGCACAGTGCATCTTGTCGTCCTATCTCTTTATA